TATTATTATTATTATTATTATTATTATTATTATTATTATTATTATTATTATTATTATTATTAAAGATTCGCTGGTATTCTCCCGGCCCGGGCCTTTTCCCAAGTGGTGGCCCGACCTTGGCTCCTTGTCTTGGGAGTGTGTGAGACCTAAGTCTCCCATGGGAGGAGGTACAAGTACCTCCACATCTTTGGGACCAATTGTCCCCAGGCCTAGCCACAAGCTAGGCCTCTCAGGTCTGCCATCCTCGCCCCAAGGGGGCTAATGGGAATGACAGTGTTGTGAGCTGCAAGCTCGGGCTCAGGCACCTACCCTACCCTAGAAGGGCTGGGCATATTGTCGATTTTATTATTATTATTATTATTATTATTATTATTATTATTATTATTATTATTATTATTATTATTATTATTATTATTATTAATGTTATTTATTATTATTATTATTATTCTTGTTATTATTATTATTATTATTATTATTATTATTATTATTATTATTATTATTATTATTATCAGTGATATTACTATTATTATTATTATTATTATTATTATTATTATTATTATTATTATTATTATTATTATTATTATTATATGATGCGGGGGGAGGGTGATGGGGGACTGTGTAAGCAGGGCCAGTGAACCATGGTAGTAGACTTTAGTGAAGGCGTGACACACTTCACAGAACCAGCTGTTATTGGAGCAGCGATTCGCTCTATGTAGAGCCTTATCAAGTAAAGTCTTCATAAAAACCTACACTGGGCGTGACGTAGTCTCAATAAAATCTCAGTTCTTCAATGTTTGTCTTTTATTTGCTGTAGGAGACAGTACGCCATTTCATCACAGAACCTGTGCGCCACGAGTGCCACGAGTGCCAAGTGCCATATGTCTCGCATATCACTTGGGTGCCATAGAACAAGATTGCCATAATTCCTCTGTTAAATAATTGCAAAATATCATCGTTTGCCGTCATCTCCCCAAAAATGTGAACATAAATATTAAGAGTGCTGTAGGGCAAGCAAAAGCATCTTATAACTTTAGGCTGTCATAACGTTATATTCTTATACAGCTTGATGAACAATGTTCCTAGAGACCGAGTGACTGATACACACACACACACACACACACACACACACACACACACACACACACACACACACACACACACACACACACACACACACATCATACACACACACACACTCTCAGTTCGAGTCTCCTGGCACTCAAACGAAATTCGAAGTTGTCACCAACAGGCACCAACTTTTCGTTCGTCCGTCCCTCCAACAAAGATATAGACCTGAAGAGGTGAGACTGGGAAATGCGAAAAAAGTGAGAGAGAAGAGAGAGAGAGAGAGAGAGAGAGAGAGAGAGAGAGAGAGAGAGAGAGAGAGAGAGAGAGAGAGAGAGAGAGAGAGAGAGAGAGAGAGAGAGAGAGAGAGAGAGAGAGAGAGGTGAAAGTACATATATAAGGCAAATAACAGATGTTTTCATTCTATACTGAGGCTGTCTTCAGAGAACTATCTTCTACTATCTCGACCGAGGACGGTGTACTATTCTCACCGATCACGATAGAGTGCCATCTATTACTGTCTCGACAAAGAATTACCAGCTATCATCAGATAGTAAGGGCATGGATAATAAAGCAGAAGGCATCCTCCCCATCCTCCAGTCTCTCATTCCATTGAAGACCTGAAACATGGAATAGGAAATGGGAAATACCATGTACCACAGTGGGAAGGCGGTTATTTACATATTATATGATAGGCATCAGAGTATGGAAGGCTTGGCTACATCGTCTTCTAAATTCTATGTTCCAGACTGACACCAAATTGTTCTTCGATGTCTGGCCAGGATTCCACCGGCTACAACCTAAAGGTGGACTGTGACTATTAAAATCCTACATTTTACGAAGTTTATTTCTCAATGATTCTTCTAGGAATAAATTGTTTTGGCACACATATATCTTAAACTTCTTGCCACGGGGTTTCATGTTCTTGTTTTGTGTAACTGTGTTATGATGTGCTTTCTAGCTATCCTTCCCGAGTATTTTAAATTGATCTATTATTGTGAAGGTTTATATTAGATCCCCTTGTAGGCTCTTTATTCTGAGTGAGAACACGTTGGGTGACTTAAGTGTCTCGTCATGCACTTTGCTTCTTGAAGATGACCTGAATTTTGTTGCAGCTCTCTACATTGTGTGTGTGTGTGTGTGTGTGTGAGGAGAAATGTAGCAGTGAACGACCATGAGTGCCACTGCTGGTGCCAGCCCACCATGGCACTGTGCTGGCCAGGCATCGACCAACACCAGCGCTCTCTACCTCTGTGTCTGCAGGCTCTCTAACTCTCCTCCCGCACCTCTCCCTCATCTCTCCATCACTTCTCCATCTCTCTTCCTTTCAATGATAACTCACTCTCTCTCTCTCTCTCTCTCTCTCTCTCTCTCTCTCTCTCCTCTCTCTCTCTCTCTCTCTCTCTCTCTCTCTCTCTCTCTCTCTCTCTCTCTCTTCCTCTCTCTCTCTCTCTCTCTCCTCTCTCTCTCTCTCTCTCTCTCTCTCTCTCTCTCTCTCTCTCTCTCTCTCTCTCTCTCCTCTCTCTCTCTCTCTCTCTCACAAGTCAATTTTTCAGCCTAAGAACTGTTATCCTACCTGAGTTCATTTTAAATTTTAGCCATAACTATGGTATACTGTCACCCCGAGCATACGACCCACAACTGTCCACTAACACCCGGGTATCTACTAACTGCTATGTGAGAAAGGGCGGCAGGTGTAAGGAAATATGTCCAATATTTCTACCCGTGCCGGGAATCGAACCCTGGACTCTCAGTTTGTGAAACGAGTGCGCTGCCAACCGAGCCATGGGACACCTCTCTCCCTCTCTCTCACTCCTTCTCTCCTCCCCTCATGCATATCCTCCACTGGCTCTCTACCACTACTAATCCCAGTGCCCCACTCTGCTAATTTCTCTTTTCTCCTCTCTTCCACCCTTTTCTTTCTCCGCTCACATCGCTCACTCCCATCTACTCTCCTTCTTCCTCCCATCCTCTTCTTTCTCTTAATATATCACTCACTGCCATCCACTATCCAAACACTCAACTATGGTGCATAATGTCTATTATCTACTCTCAACAGGATTTATAAACAATGAAGCTCCAATTAATTAATTACAAATAAAATCAATAACTTTCTTCAATTAAAATTGAATGAATAATTAAATAAATAATGAAATAAAGTCGAATCACAGTGCAATGAAAAGCTGTTAATTAAATTCTATTGTATATTCTAAGTTACGTTAACGATCTATTATCTCTGGTTAAAAATAAAAGTTCACTGTTGTTAATACTATTGAAACCTTCACTGTAGAGTTGTGTGACGGTTTGACAAAGAGGAGACTAAATTATTGCTTCTTAGACACGGCCTAGTAGCCTCGTAGCCTCGTAGCCTCGTAGCCTCGTAGCCTCGATGTAGAATGCTCTTGGCACTACGGTACTATGGCCGCACCGTAGTGCCAAGCACCTATATTTAATGATATTATTCAATAAAGCAACAATTCACACGTTTTAAAAAGACCGATACATTGTGTGTAATTCAACATCTACTGTATATTTAAGTTAATTAGTTTCTATGGAAAAGTGACATTAATATGGCTCATCAGTCGAGCAAAGTAGTCGTTTTCACAAGAATGTATATTGCGACTCGTATTATGTTACTTGGGAAACGCCAGTATTTTAGAATATGTCATGTCAATTCAATGAAATCTTTTAATCTAATGTTGAATAATTCTGTTTCTTAATGTCTTCCTTGTTGCTGTTGTGTTTGGGAGCTGCTTTGAGAAGGAACGGATAATCAACTGCGTTCACTGAAGTGATAAATATACATTTTTTTGGAACATAGGATTTTCATGGAAGGTTCTTACTTCTCCAACAAAACCACCTATTTATCTATCAGAATTCATGGTGTCAGTTAATTATTCTTGAGCACAGAATAGACATCTCTTTTTACACAACTTATGCCAGAACTAATAATGATAGAGAACTCTGAAATAATTGTAGCTCAATATATATATATATATATATATATATATATATATATATATATATATATATATATATATATATATTATATATATATTTATATATATATATATATATATATATATATATATATATATATATATGTCGTGCCGAATGGGCAGAATTTGCGATCTTGGCTTAAATAGCACGTTCATCTTGCCATATAGACAAGGTGAAAATTTGTGTATGCAATATTTCGCCCAAAATCATTCTGAACCTAACGAAAAAAAATATATTTCTCTGTGTTTGTTTAGTATTAAATTATTGTAAACAAATCTAAATATATTTAGTTGGGTTAGGCTAAAATAAATTGCTCTTGTTACAATAAGGTTAGGTAAGTTTCTAAGTTTCTTTTGCTGCAAAATTAAAATTTTTTACATTAACATAATGAAAAAAATATCTTTAAGCGTTATAAGAGAAAATTTTAGAAAGGACTTAATTTTAAATGAGTTCTTGCTAATTGACCAGTTTTACGTATTCGGCACGACATATATATATATATATATATAATTATATATATATATATATATATATATATATATATATATATATATATATATATATATATATTATACATGTATATATATATATATATATATATATATATATATATATTATATTATATATATGTGTGTGGTGTGTGGTGTGTGTATGTGTATGTGTGTGTGTGTGTGTGTGTGTGTGTGTGTGTGTGTGTGTGTGTGTGTGTGTGTGTGGTGTGTGTGTGTGTGTGTACTGTTTCCTCTACCACATCACTAATAAAACTTTTCATTTGACACAGAACACAAAGCCGAGGTACCAGTGAGCATCAGTGCATGTCACCCGTTTCTCTTCTCTGCGTATTGAAGATCATAAATCACATCATCTCACTCACCTGTCTCCTCCGCACTTAGAGATCATTACCACAGGCTCTTCTGTCTGTTTCCTCCCTACAGCTCCGGTGGTGGAGATCATAGACGAGAGAGGAGCCTCGGTTCACGAGAAGTTCTACAAGACAGGCAGCACCATCGAACTCAAATGCACCATCAGCCAGATGCCGCAAGCACAGACGTTTATACTTTGGCGCCACGGTGACCACATGCTCAACTACGACACATCTAGAGGGGGGATTAGGTGAGTGTGTACGTGGATTTCAATGCATCGAGGGGATGCTAGGTTAGTGTGTTTCGTGATTCAGTGCATCGAGGGGATGCTAGGAGAATATCTGTCGAGATTCAGCGAGCTTAGGGAATATTAAGAGAATTTGTAACGGAAATCAGCGAAGACGCTGAGGGGATGTTAGACGAGCCTGTGAGTGTTATTCAGTGGGTTCAGGAGATGTTAGGCGAATGTATGGTGGGATTCAGAAAACTTGAGGGATGGTAGGTGCATAGCGGTATTCAATGAGTTGTGGAGGATGGTAGGTGATTGCATTTAGGTATTCACTGAGTTGAAGGGACGTTATACGAACTACAGTCGTTTCTGCTTATTTTAGAAGATGTAAGATTTAAGAGCATTTAGGTGAGTTTTTGGGAGTAATTAGTGAGTACGGCAAGTATCACGACGGTAGTGGACAGGCTTCCAGAAATATTTATTCAGTTTTCCGATGGTAAATAATGAACTTATGGTAGTACTGAATAAGATTTTTGAAGTATTAGGTATTATTTTGTTGTATTTTGTGAGTTTAGGGCGCATGAGAAAAGGTAAAACAATATTATGTGGCCTTAAACACAATAATGTAGTATGATCAGACAGTAGTTAATTGATTCAGTAAATATTAAATTAACTCTGGAGTAATTCGTGATTTAATGATTGCATTAAATTAATTTAAGCATTTTATATTCATTTATGTGTCATTTTTTGAGGATAATATATGCTTTTCGAAGGCGTAAATGAAGTGCACTTTGTGAAGGGGGCATTTTCTAATGAAAGACTGATGAAAATATTAGTGGTGTAGGGCTGGTCGAATTTTTTTTTTACACGTTTTAGTATTAAAGAATTTTCGGTGAGAAATCTCTCAAGTTAGCACTTTTCTTAAAAGTATAAATGGTTGTTAATGAGAAGCAGGTTGAAAATTAATTAGATTAGGACTAATTAATGTATTCTTGTTTATAGGGCTAACGTTGTGGGATGTCGTTTATATCGTGTAATAAGGAAGAGATTAAATAAGGATGAGAATTCAGCATTGTGTGGTGTTGCGTGAGCTGTGGTGCGTGTGGTGACAGCATTAAACCAGTCTTTCAGAGAGGCCGAGGTTGCATGCATCGTGGTGCAACATGGATAACAAGGAAGGGAGGGAGAGTGAGGTGAGAGAGAGGGGGAGGAGAGACGAGAGAAGATGAGAGAAGGGGAGGTGAGACGAAAGAGGGTGAGGGAAATGGAAGCGAGGTGAAAGAGAGAGGGAAGAGGAGATCAGAGAAGAGGAAAGTTAGAAAAGGGAAGGGATGACAGAGAAGTGAGGGAAGGGGAGGGAGACGAGAGGTGAGAGAACGAGATACGTGGGAAGGGGACAGAGCATGAAACAAAGGTAAGGAAGAGAAGGAGAACCCTAAGAAGGAAGGAAAGGAAACCTCTCTCACAAAAGCGGGGTTCACACGCAACTAGTAATGCTACATATGCGTTCCTTGGTTGACTTCAGAATCTCGTCCACAAGAGTCCATCTGAGAGACGTAACACTCATGGGATACACGTCAAGGCTGAAGCATCTGAGGGGATGATTACAGATCGTGTGGGGGAGAAGGGAAAGAATGATTACAAAGCGTGGGAGAGGGGTTGGGATGATTGCAAACCTTGGGGAAGGGGAGGGTTGGGGGAGTTAACAATCTTTGTGCTCAATTATGATAAGGTCACGGGCTCAGATGTGCGAGTCTTTTGACACTAAACCTCAACGAACTGTCTCGTTATATTTAGGGATTTTACCCTATCAGCAGCAATATTGATGTAGGTACGAGAGAGAGAGAGAGAGAGAGAGAGAGAGAGAGAGAGAGAGAGAGAGACAGACAGAGAGAGAGAGAGAGAGAGAGAGATAATAGGATAAAACACAAAAATCCATGAAAAATATTTGACATTTACACTCTGAAGCCGAAGTTAGAAAACCTCCTGATTGGGGAATATTAACACTAAACGTAAAGTGTGGCAAATATAGACCAGGTAAGTGATAATTAATTATAGTAACACGTATTATAAATACGTTAAAAAAATCCTTAATCTCAAATTCAGGAATGGAATACATTAAGACAGATATAATTAATTACTATTTATAGATAGGTGAATTCTCCCATAAACTCAAGAAAAATTGTAATGAACGACTGTTAGTGAATAAACAGAAAATTGGACGTGGACTCGAACCGTGATGCTGGCATGTAGCAAGCCCAGTGCTGTACCACTGAACCACATGGCTAACAGCTTGAAGACTTTCAGACGGCAGTACTCTGACTTGTCTATATCAGCTGCACCAACTGTGACCTTACTGTCCCTCTACGCAGCCTCAAAAGACTTCATACTCTCGAGATAAGTCGAAATGAACGATT